CGGCGGCGGCGGCGAGGCGGCGGCGGCGGCGGCGGCGGCGGCGGCGGCGGCGGTGGCGGCGGCGGCGGCGGCGGCGGCGGCGCGGCGGCGGCGGCGGCGGCGGCGGGCGGCGGCGGCGGCGGCGGCGGCGGAGGCGGCGGCGGCGGCGGATTGGCCCCCAGTAGCTGCCCATCCGAAGACGATTGCACAATGTGCCGAGGCTCGGGCCAGACTCGGGTGCTACTTATGTGTTGGGAGAGCGGGTGGGAGTGAGCGAGACGGCTTGCGGGCGGGGAGGGGGTAACTGGTCCTCACCCTTACCCTAACCCCCAAGCCTAACCCTGAACCCGAACCCTAGCCCCAAGCCCCAAGCAGTACTCAGTACTCACTACGCGTTACTCACTTCACTACCCACTACTCACTACTCGCTACTCACTGCTCACTTCTCACTACTCACTACTCACGACACACTACTCACTACCCATTACTCTCTACCCACTACCCACTACTCACTACTCCCTACTCCCTACTCACTAGTTACTCCTCAATACTCAATATCCACTACCCAATACGCACTACTCACTAAACACAACTCACTGCCCACTACGCACTAATCATAAATCACTACTCACTACCCACTAGCCGCTGTCCACTATTCCCTACTCACTACTCACACTTCACTACTCACTACTCACTGCCCACAACTCACTACTCACTATCCACTACGCGCTACTCCCTACTCACTACACAATACGCACTACTCACTACTCACTACTCGCTACTCCCTACACCCTACTCGCTACCCGATACGCACCACTCACTACCCACAGCGCACTACGCACTACGCTCCTACTACTCACTACTCACTACTCCCTACTCCCTACTTCCAACTCACTTATCCCTACTCACTACCAGTACTGAAAACTCACCACGCACTAAACACGACTCACTGCCCACTACTCACTACTCAGTAAGCACTACTTACTACCCACTGCCCACTATCCACTACTGAGTACTCACAGGCCACTACTCACTACTCACTGCCCACAACCCACTACTCACTATCCGCTGCTCGCTACTCGCTACTCCCTACTCCCTACACAGTACTCACTGCTCACTACTCACTACTCACTACTCGCTACTCCCTATTCCGTACTCGCTACCCACTAGTCACTAGTCACTTGTCGCTACGCTACTCACTACTCACTATTCAGTACTCACTACTCGTTAACAACGACTCACTACCCACTACGCTCGACTCACTACTCACTACGCAATGTTCACTACCCACTACGCACTACTCACTACCCACTACTCCCTACTCCATACTCACTAATCACTAACCACAAGTCGCTACTCACTACGCACTATTCAATACTCACTGCTCACAACTCAGGACTCAGTACTCACTACTCACTACTCGATCGTCCCTACGCACTACCCACTGCCCAATACTCAATACCCTCTTTACACTTCTCACTACTCACCATTCACTACTCCCTACTTCCTACTCACTACTCACTACTCACTACGCGCTACTCCCTACTCGCTACTCACTACTGACTACTCCCTCACGGTGGCCTATCAACGCCTCACTATTCACTACTCGCTACTCCCTACTCGCTACGCACTACTCACTACCCACTCCCCACTCCCCACTATTCACTACTCACTACTCATTGCGCACTACTCACTACTCACTCCTAACTCCTCACTACTCGCTACTATCTACTCACTACTCACTATTCACTACGCACTACTCACTTCTGTCTACTCACTACTCACTACTCACGATCCCGAGGCCAGGCCCCCCCCCCTTGCCGGAGAGGCCCTCTCCCCGGCCCCCTGTTCGGCGCAAAGGGGGAGGAGGGGGGGGGGTCGAACCCCCCCCCTTTCCAGCGCCAAAGGGGGGAGGGGGGGAACGGTCCGGACTTCCCCCCCGCCCTTCAAGAGGGGGGGGGGGTCGGACCCCTTAAGGGGGGGAGGGGGGAGGGGGGGGGGCGAAAATCTCATCTCACGCCCCCTTTGAAGGGGAGAAGGGGAGGGGGGGGGTTCGGACCTCCCCCCCTCTTTTCAATTACAGGGTGATCCAGTGGCGCGCTTACGGAATGTGGTCACCGCGAACGCACAAGCGATCTGGCGGGCGCCGCACGTCGAGTGCCGGACGCAAAGGAGGGATAGCACAGGGAGGGTTGGGGAACCACCTCGCGTAGATGTCTGATTTTCGCGGCGCCTCCCAGCGCCGGAGGCCACCATGCATTGAGGACCCGTGAGTGGGAGGGCAAGGAAAACGTGCCCAAGGATGGGCACAAAAACCCTGCGCGTCGCGCATCCTTGGGCCCGCGGCCCCCCGCGAGTGGAAAGACTGCAAAAACTGGGCGGAGGATGGCCAAGGGTGCCTTGCTCATCGCGCATCCTCAGGGCCGCGCCCACCTGTGAGTGGGAGAGCAAGGAAAACGTGTCGAAGGATGGGCACAAATACCCTGCGCGTCGCGCATCCTTAGGGCCACGGCCCACCGCGAATGAAAGGACGGAACAACAGGCCCGAGGATGGCCAAGGGTGCCCTGTCCATCGCGCATCCGTTAGGCTTGGCCCCCAGGGGCGTCGCGCCGCGCAACCGAAGGATGCAGCCCGCCCCAAGGGTACCCTAAGGGGCTGGCCAGTGAAAGTTGCCAGGGATGGACCGAAGGGGCAAGGATGCAAGGGTACCCTAGGACAAGCTGCTCATCCTTACTCCGCGGGTTAACTGTATTTCGGCACAACCCTCACTCGTCTCGTGGCCCCATAGGAGATCCGCCGAAGGTCCCAATGGCACATTTCTTCTGCGTCCCCGCCACTCATGTCGGCGCACCCCTCACATGCTCCATGGCCTCATAGGAGCTCCGCCGACGGTCCCAGTGGCACAATTCGCATGCGCCCACGCCACTCATGAAGGCATACCCCTCACGCGCTTCGCGGCCTCATAGGAGCTCCGCCGAAAGTCCCAGTGGCACAATTCGCAGGCGTCCCCGCCAGTCATGTCGGCATACCCCTCACGCGTTTCGTGGCCCCATAGGAGCTCCGCCGAAGGTCCCAATGGCACACTTCGCATGCGTTCGCGCCACTCGCGTCGGCACACCACTCGCACGTTCCGTGGCTCCATCGGAGCTCCGCCGAAGGTCCCAGATGCACAATTCGCATGTATCCCCGCCATTCATGTCGGCACACCCCTACACGCTTCGTGGCCCCATGGGAGATCCGCCGAAGGCCCCAATGGCACATTTCGCATGCGCCCCCGCCACTCACTGCACACCATTCACACGCTTCGTGCCCCCATAGAAGCTCCGCCGAAGGTCCCAGCGGCACAATTCGCAGGCGTCCCCATCATTATTTTCGGCAAGCCCCTCACACGCTTTGTGGCCCCATAGGAGATCGGCCGAAAATCTCAATGGCACAGTTCACATGCGCGCCTGCCACTTATTGCGCACCCCTCACTCGTTTCGCGGCCACATACGAACTCCACCGAAGGTCCCAATGGCACAGTTCGCATGCGTCCCCATTCATGTCGGCACACCCCTCACACGCTCCATGGCCCCGTAGGAGCTCCGCCGAAAGTCCCAGTGGCACACTTCGCATGCGTCCCCGTCCCCGCCACTCATGTCGGCATACCCCTCACGCGTTTCGTGGCCACATAGGAGCTCCACCGCAGGTCCCAGTGGCGCAGCCCGCATGCGTCCCCGTCATTCATGTCGGCACACCCCTCACTCGTTTCGTGGCTCCATAAAGAGCTCCACCGAAGACGATATTCACAACTGCGTGACTCACAACTGCAAATGGTTGGGTCCTTCGCCAGGCGAATTGGTTTCGGGACACTCCATTTTGAATTCCTTACGAAACCCCAGGTTTTTTAAGGATTTCCGCATGCGCGCGCGAAGACGCACTCGTGTGCACTTCGTCCAATATTTTGTCAAGGATTATTGCGACAGCACGCGCACAAAGGTGTTCGAGCAATTCCGACATGCGCGCGCGAGAGGCCCGCTTGGTTGCAAGTTATGAACAGGTTGAAGCACCTACGTATGGTTAAAAAATCGCAAGAACCCGAGCACAAATTGTTGTTGAACATCCCTGTTGCGAAACCATGTGTTGTTGTATGTTTTCGGGGCACTCGATCTTGGAATCCTTACGGCACCTAAGGTGTTTGAGCGATTCCGGCATGCGCGCGCGACGACGCGCGCGGGTACACTCCGTTCCGTTTTTGTGCAAGGCACTCTTGTGAACTTCGGATGTGTGATAAACGAGCGCGCGTGCATTTTTTTTACAACGGCTGGGAGGGGGGGGCGGATACCAGCCTGCCTGGGATGGTATACGTTCACATTTAGGATGGACGCGTACATTGCAACACGAAAAGGGGGGCTGCTGATTCCGGGGGCGGGGCGGTAGATCCTGATACTCTTTTAGAAATGAGAACCTATGTGATGCAAACTACGTTGTGCAATCTATTGGTGCAATATATGTTGTGCAATCGATGTTGCGCAATCTGTGTTGTGCAATCTATGTTGCGCAACCTATGTGGTGCAATCTATGTAGTGCAGTAGGAGGCGATGCAACCTACGTTGTGCAAATTCGGCGGCGACGGCGACAACATAGCCGCCAGACCGACAATCAAGCCCAGACGACGGGCGGCAACGAGGCGGCGACGGTGACAATATAGCCGCCAGACCGACAATCAGGCCCAGACGACGAGCGGCGACGAGGCGGCGACGGGGCGGCGACGGCCAAAACATAGCCGCCAGAGCGAAAGCCCAGCTCGATTAATTAGAACAGAAAGAAGAACCCCTGAATGCAAACGCTGTTAGGGAAATGTACCGCCAAGCTACCGTGCGCCCACGGCGCGTGGTTGCGCAGTCTTGCACTCGAGAGGCGGCACTAAGGACGAGGCCAGAAGCAGGCAGGGAGAGAGTGGCGATGAGGCTCAAGAGCCGCCCAGCACGGTGCCATGAAGGTAGCGACGGGGACAAGGAACACTCTGGCGGCTGCGGGCCTCCCAGTCGCCACGGCGGGGCTGGCGGTCCTGTCCTGCGCGGGCGCGCGGCCGCACTGCTTACCCGAGCCGTCCCCGATCGTGCTGTGTGGCGCACTCCCTCCTCACAGGAATCATAAAATTACTGGGCGCATTTTCGAGGCATCGCGCACATCTTATCAATCCGCACTTCTTAATTTCACAGGGTGGCATCTGCTAGGACTGACACTGCTCCTTATACTCCCAGCAGTTGTCGAAACCGTGGCGTCGCTGACCCGCAAGAGCCTCAACATCGAATGGCACGTGCGAGTTCGTATGGCATCGGGCACTGCATTTTGCTTCGAGACCGAGGTCCGAGCAAGTTCGAGCGCTGCAAATGTTGCCTCGCGCTCTCGTGGAAAGTGCAATTCCACAACGAAATGCCGCTGCATCTGCTCGTCATGTTTCTTCAACTTCTCGTCCTCCTCCACATCCCCCATTTGTCGTTCTGGGCGGTCAGTTCATGCTGAAGCTCGGCGCTCGACTGCACGCGTGTACAAGCGCACACACACATACATACACATTTACACACATACATATACATATGCCTTTACACATTCGCATACACATACACATACACCTACATAATCATAAACACATGCATTCACACATACATATACACATACGTATATGTATACATATACATAGTATATACATTTACATGTACATCTACATACACACTTACATTCTCAACTACATAAACATATACACAACACACACAAACTCATAAACATGTATGCACACATGTGTATGCAAACGCATGTAGCTGCATGTATATGTCCACATGGGTGTATATATGTGTGAACACATACAAGACTGCATCGACGCTTTGGCCAGTAGCAATTCACATCGGTCCTTCAATCAATCTGTGGTAAAGAGGTACATACGTTAGAACAGCTACAGCTTATGCTTACCGTTCTCGTGTTCGTCGTCGTTTAGTTTGTGGTTCTTTCTCCTTCCATTATATGTCCTCTTCCTCTTCCTCTTTCTCGCCTTACCCTGCGAACCCTTCCCCGTCCTCCTCAGTTTTCGCTTGCGTAGGCTCGTCCCTGGAAAGCTTTTTGAGGGCCCCGCGATCCTTTTCAAGGGTGTCCTGGGCGCTTCTGGGATCCTCCTGGGCGCCCTTGGGGACCTCCAAGGGTTTGCTCGGGTCACTTTGCTGCGAACCACGGTCTCCCTCGATGACCGGGTTACGATCTGGAATGTTTCGGGGGGCGTCTTGGGGCCATAATCAGCCGTCGTGGAGCCCTCTTCGGGCCATCGTCGGGCCCTGCTGGGTCGTATTAGGGCTCTCTTGGGAGGTCCACGGCCAATTCCACGGTGAGCCCCACGACAACAGCATCGTCGACCTTAGGGACTTCCAGCGCTTCGGTAACTAGCAGTGCGTCGCAGACTAGCGGCAGCGTGACCGCGATCAGCACAGTCAGGACCGGCACAGGCACGGCACGAGGCTGACTAGAAGCCTCTTGCTTAGTCTTAGAACAATTCGTTGGGCATTTTGCAGGTGTTCGCATGACGAGAAAACCGAAGAACCGAGTATACAAAATCTATGCACCAACCATAGAAAAATCATGAAACATCGACGCTGCGTTTGGAAGGCCTCTTGGGGGTGTTCTTTGGGCCGTCTTCGGGCGCCTGGCGGATGTCTGAGGCAGCTTAAGGCTCTCGTGGGGCCGTTTGGCCACTCTCGTGACCGCTTTAGGCCCGCTGGCTAGGACGGCAAGAACATCCAGGAGGCCCGGAAGCCCCGGGGGCCCCCCTTCACAAGGCGTCGTGGGGGTCCATGGGGACTGATGATCAGGACGGTCGGGCTTGGGGAGGGGTCCCTCCCGTCCTCTCCGAATTGTGACAAAAGGATTAGTGTTTGTTATCTCTCACTATATAATAATACATATACACGTACATCTACAAATACATATAAATATACATATACATATACATATACAAATACATATACATATACATATGCATATACAGATACACATACATGTACACATACATATACACATACATATACGTATCCATATCCATATCCATATGCATATACACATACACATACATATACATTTAGACATTCATATAAATATACACGTGCACATACATATTCACATACACATACACATACACATGCACATACACATACACATACAAAACACATACATATAAATATACATATGCATATGCTTGTCTATATGTAGATGTACATGTATACGTACATGTAAACGGATATGTGTCAATGTATTGGTATGTGTACGCGTATATGCATGTACATGTAGGTGTATCGGTATATAATATGTATATGCATGTGGATGTGTGTTTTGATATGTTTATGGATGTATGTATATATATACACTAGAACCATCGCGAGCGCTTCGCGCGCGCTCAGGTTCTAGCAGGCCCCAAGCCTTGACGACTTTACCGCTCCACTGAAGTAGTGGACCACAGATGGCTTGAACGGGAAGTGAAGAGGTGCCCATAATGCTGAACGCATTATGGGCAGTGAGAAATCCACGCATGCCAACTCGCATTCCGGAAGCCTTTCGGGGAAGATTGTTGCGTAGGGGGGCGGAGGCCTGATGAATCGGGTTCCCAGAAGGCCTTCTGGGAACATGGTTTTGGGGGGCGTCTTGGGGAGCGTGTTGGGGCGCGCCGTCGTCGTCGTAATGTTGTCGTCGCCTCTTGGGGCGCGCCGTCGTCGTAGTCGTCGTAGTCGTCGTCGTCGTCGTCGTCGTCGTCGTCGTCGTCGTCGTCGTCGTCGTCGTCCTCGTCTTCGTCGTTCCGTCATCGTCGTCGTCGTCGTCGCCGTCGTCGTCGTCGTCGTCGTTTGCATCGTCGTCGTCGTCGGTTGACGAGGGCACTTGGGGCAACTTTGTGCGAAACGATCCGCGGAGGGCCGCGAGAAGGCGATCAGTCATATTCCCAATCAACTTCCCAGACAGCTTTCCAGTAGCGCGATTGTACTTCAAAGCCTTTGGAGACTCTCAGGCCCATGACGAACCACGTCCCCGGAAGGCTTTCTGGGAACATGATTTGTTGGGGTGTGTTGGGGGGCCTCTTGGGCGTTCCCTGGGCACCCCTTGGGGGCCTCTAGGGGCTTCCCAGGGCCTTCTTGGGGGCCTCACGGAGCTTCGTGGGAGCCTCTTGGTGGCCTCTGGGGGCCTACTGGGGGTCTCTGGGACCAAAGAACTCGAAATATCGGTTCGAGGTCCCCCTCCGAGACCCCCTCTTAGGGCGCTCTTGGGGTACACTTGGGTTGTCTGGGGAGCCAGCCTCCTGGGCCGTCTTGGGTCCCTTTTCGGGGCCTCGTAGGCCATCTTGGAACGATCGCCTCCGAGGCCGTGAGGCAGCGCTTGGAAACGGGAAACGCGAGAGCGCCAAAATCCTGCAAAAACCATAGGAACATATAGGAATTTTACCTCCCAGGGCCCTCTTGGGGAACCTTTTGAGTCCGTCCTGGAGCGCGTTGGAACCCTCGTCGGCCGTCTTGAGGGCATCTTGGGCGACTATTTTGGAACCCTGTTGTGCCCGCTTTGGGCTCTCTTGGACTGCCTCGAAGCCCTCTCGGATGGTTTCGGGACGATTTTCGAGTCTCCCAGGCGGTCTCGGACGCCCAGAATACATATGAACAGGGCAGTCCCAAAATTATGCAAAACCTGCGGAAATCAATGTTTTTCTGCAATTTGGAAGCCTATTGACGGTCTTCTTTGGGTCGTCTTAAGGCGTCTGCTGGGTGTGTAGGGTTTCTTGGGGTCCTCGGGGGGGTGTTCGGCCGCCCTCCTGACCGACTTGGGCGCCCCAGGGGAAGACCAATCTATATGCGCACACGTAAGACATGAAGGATTCGCGCATACGTAAAGCGCGAAGGATTCGTGCTTCAGGAAAAAGCAATCCATACGCGCATACGTAACATACGCAAGGCTCGTGCCCCAGGGGAGGGCAAATCTATAAGCAAATATTTAAACACGAAAGATTCGGGCCCCTGGAAAAAGGCCAATCTATAGGCATACGCGTGAAACACAAAGGACTCGTGCCCCAGGAGAGGGCCAACCGATAGGCACATGTGTAAAACATAAAGGATTCGCGCCCCCAAAGAAGGCAAATCTCTAGGCGCATACGTAAAACGCTAAGGATTCGCGCTTCACCATACGGCCATTACATAGGCACGCGTGTAAAACACGAAACATTCGTGCCCCGAGAGAAGGCCGATCTATTGGCGCATACGTGAAACGCAAAGGACCCGTGCCCCGAGAGAAGGCCAATCTATTGGCACATACGTTTAACACAAAAGATTCGCGCCCCAAGAAAAGGCCAAGACAGCCCCAGGAGGCGCCGGGAGGAGCCAGGACAGCACCAGAAGGCGCCAGGAGGCCCCAGGAAGCCCCGGGAAACCCCAGGAGGCCCCGGGAGGCCTCAGGAGACCCCAGGAAGCCCCAGAAGCCGCAGGAAGCTCCAGGAGGCCCCAGGAAGCCCCAAGAGGCCCCAAGAGGCCCCAGGAAGCCCCAGGAGAGGACCAATCTATAGGCACATACGTAAAACACGAAAGATTGTGAAGCCATCTGGACCGCGCCGCACCAGCGACACGCTTCCAACGGATCCGCCCTGTGGGCTCCTGGGGCCTTCCGCCTCAAGAATTCTAAACGCTTCGCGTATCCCCGCAAGCCCGTCCAGAAATGAGTCCCAGGGGAGTGGAGGTGATGATGGAAGCGGGGGAGCATGCAGAAGAACAAAGGGCGGGGTAAGCCGCCATATACCCCAAGAGGGGGAGGATGTAGGAGGAGTCGTCGTCGTCGGAGTGGGAGGAGGAAGAGGAGCAGCAGGAGGAGGAGCAGGAGGAAGAGGGGGAGGAGAAGGAAGATGAGGAGGAGGAGATGGAGGAGGGCGAGGACGTGGAGGACGAGAAGGAGGAGAAGGAGAAGGAGGAGGAGGAGGAGGAGGAGGAGGAGGAGGAGGAGGAGGAGGAGGAGGAGGAGAGGAGGATTGGGGGGGGCCTCTTGGTCTTTGGGGCCTCTTGGGGGTCTCTTGGGAGCCTCTTGGAGGC